GCGTCCTGTCCAGTACAATTCTCACTGTAGGGATCTTCGTCCAACACCCTCATGACTGATTTCTACATGAAATCTAGTTTTTTACAACAATATAAGTGTCTTTTGTGTAAGACTGAAAAAATTGTTTCAATCTCTTGCAAACACTATCAGAAATGTTAGAACTTACTATTTGAAGCATCTGATTATAGACTGGGGTTATTAATTAAAGCGAAGAAGGGAAATAAATAAAGAAAAAGCAAACAAAACAGTTCTAATTGAAAAAATTTGAACTCTGTAAACAGCCTGAGATCATTGGGAAATGTTTAATCCCCTAAGTAACAACAAATCAAGGCTTCTATGAACATATTATATCACAAATAAGACTGTGAGACTATTATGCACTCACCTATCAACCGCTGTAATAACCTATCAGTTTTCGGTATTTCAGTTAAGAATGTATAAGAGCATAACATGTGCACTGTATATTAGAAATATCACACAGTGAAACAGTAGGATTTATTGGATAACGTTTCGGATACAATTTATTGTCCATATTCATATCAGGTAACTCCACAATTTCAAGACAGACTTTATATATTCCTAATTTTCTCTCCTTCTCTGTGATGACAAGGGTAGTAGAATTTCACATATATCTGGGACAGGTGCAGAATCATTTCATTTGTATGTATTTCGTGTTGATTCGATAAACAGAGATTCAGTTATCAATCTCTCTTTCCACCCAACCAAGTTACTTTTCAACACTATCGCCCTATCCCACCCTACTATTTGATTGTGTCATCGTCTGCAGAGCTATAGCTGAGCTTTTCTCTAGATTTCTTATCTTAGTAAGATCCACTAATCTTAATTTGGTTGAGTTTTTGTGTTCTGTTATTTTAATCGACCCTGGTCGACTGCTTTGGCCTATGTAACTGACCTCGCAATCATTGCAAGAGATCTGGTACACCAGGTTATTCTGCTCCATTGCATTGATAGGATCTTTTAACCTACAAAGCTTGTTTCTAAGTGAGTTTGTTGGTTTGAATGCCACTTTAATTTCAGCCTTATTGAGAATTCTTCGTAATGCTTCTGAGGTGCTTTCCTTGTATGGTAACACAGCAGAGGCTTTGAATTCTCTCTTAAACCTGTCGCCATTATTACCATTAGTAGTGAGATTATTATTAATAACACCCGTATTACTACTACCACTGCTAGTATTTTTCTTTCTATTTCTTATGAATTTATTTATAAATTTTGGTGGGTAATTATTGAGACGTAGGGTATTCTTGATGTGTCTAATTTCTTGTCTCAGATTCTCCGATCTACTAGTAAGCTTTTTGCTCCATCACTTGAGCATTTAACTGGGCCTACTTTAAATGAAATGGGGTGGGAAGATTCGAAGTCTAAGTAGCGATATGAATGGGTAGGTTTCCTACAGACACTAGCCTCTTAATTTCCCTCTTGTGTTCGTTTAGTCTTGGAATCCAGCATTGCTAGCTCACCTTCTTCACTTTCTAAGCCACAGGTAAATTGGATTGCATTCACTACTGAATATATATGTGCCAAGAACCTATTGATGTGTTCCGATTTCAGTACTGTAAACGTATCATCTACATATCGGAACCATATCTTTAGAGTAGGACTAAATGTTTGAAGGACCATCTGTTCCCAGTTATCTCATGGTGACACCTTCAGTTTGTTCAACAAACTGTTCAACAGGTGATGACACACAATCACACAGTAGGGTGGGATAAGGCGATAGTGTTGAAAAGTAACTTGGTTGGGTGGAAAGAGAGATTGATAACTGAATCTCTGTTTATCGAATCAACACGAAATACATACAAATGAAATGATTCTGCACCTGTCCCAGATATATGTGAAATTCTACTACCCTTGTCATCACAGAGAAGGAGAGAAAATTAGGAATATATAAAGTCTGTCTTGAAATTGTGGAGTTACCTGATATGAATATGGACAATAAATTGTATCCGAAACGTTATCCAATAAATCCTACTGTTTCACTGTATGGTATTAAGTTGAGGATGTAGTTTCTCAGAGAGCAAAGAAAGTTGATTGGTAATCTCAACAGCTTCTAGGGTGATCTTCAGCATCAACTTGTTTAACATTATTCTTCAAGTGACTGCTTTGTCTTATTTAGAAATTCAAAACCTTTTATCATAATATTTTTATTCTTCATTGCAATGCACTGAACTGCATTTCGGTAAAAAAGTAGAGTACACTTAGTGTTTCTAGTATTTTCTACTCTAAAAGCATAAGGACGTATACCCCATGTCTCCTTCCTATAAAATTCCGCTTATTTATTTATATACAATTTCAGATAATATTTTGACTTGATGCTGCTTTTTATCTTATTCCATAAAAACTAATGAATGTAGGAATTTTAAGTTTTTGTACAGGTCTGCAAACAATCTGTAGAGTGCATCGCTGAGAAGAAATTTCTGGGGTCACTAGTCTCAAAACTTCAGTACTCATGACCTCATATTTCTACGTCAGTCTATATACCATCTCAGAGTAACTTTCAAGGATCTAGAGCTTTTGTATTCTTCATGGAGATTATTCTGATCAGAGTGAACTGTAGGAATGTGGTTAGACAGATATTTACTGCATAAATGAATAATCTACAGGTTTACTTTTCAGTGCTTTTATCACTTGGTGGAATATTTCACAACAAGTTCAAAGGTGTTACATCCTACACATTATGTAGTTTATGCGCTTGCAAATGATCAAAACTGAAGTTTGTAGCATGAAACCAATAGTGTTTATTAGTTATATCATATTTATAGACACTTTTTATAAACTTTATTTTAAAAGCATACTGCATAAGAAAAATTAAACTTTACTCGCTAGAAAGAAGCAGATTTGACTTCACAGTTTCTCTTGTTCTACTTTGCGGTAGCAATTTATTATCTGGAAGCGTGAATACTGTGCCTATGTAGTTCATCAACAAAGTTAATGGTCTGGATTACGTTTTTGGTTGAATTCAAAATTGTCTCTTCTATCTTACTCGGAAATTATTCTAAAGTTTTTTCATTCAGACATTTAAAGCAGGTAGTCTGTTATAAGTAGGAAATATTGTAGATCAAACAGTTATTGTTGGTCAAGTCAAAATTTTCTTTTCAATTGTACCTTGTTGACATTGGCTGACATGATTGGACTAGGGAAGCTTACTCTGGATACTGAATGAATGAAATATAACACTCGATAACCTATCTGGCTAACACAAAGTAGATGCTACTGGGCTGATGAGAATTGACTTCAATCTGAAGAGTATGAAACAGGGATATAGTCAATGCTTTCATGTACAACAAGAGAAACTTTGAGGCGAAAGACAAATTAGTTTATTAAAAGTGGAAGAACAACCAATAAGAAAATAGAGCCGATAAAAGTGGGAAAAGTGAACCTTATGCGTAAGGTGGAGAAGGCGTGAAAATTATCAATTCAAATTTTTATTAGATAAAATTTATGAATTTATAGCAGATAGCGTGCATTTTTGGGGATCAAGCATCCCTAATACCTAGATTTATTCTAGTTTAGGCTAGTGGTTTACTTTGATATACTGTTTTGTATAACATGGTTTTAGACAACTGTTTCAGATAATTCCCAGTAAATAAAATCATTCTAGGCACCATATAAATTTGTAAGCAGGTTTTTATCACGGCGATCATTGTCATTTTGCAATTGAATGGCTATTATTAGATGTTTGAGGTTGGGCTGATCTGCTGTATATTCAGATAAGTTCTCCTAGGATAACACATTTCTTTGGAACCCGACCGATTCACCAACTGCTAACCACAGTGTAAAAAGCCTTATTATTCAGACTTATCAACTCAGTGTACAGTTAACGGACTGTTTCATTCAAGATTCTACACATTAAAATGTAGCAGTTGCATTCATCTTCTCTTTGTCTCTGTTTCTCTTTGCCATTCTATTTTCAAATGAGCTGATTTTCCTAAATTTTATAGTCTTGATTCTTCCTTTTGTTTGGTATCTTTTTTCTCAACTGTAACATATAGTACGCGTGTCTTGGTGTTCAATAGGTGAAAGCTTTTGTGTAGGTTTCTCTCACTAACGTTTTTTTGAATAAAGAACGAAATACATCTCTGTAAGTTATGTAATCGTGAGTTTTTCGCCTGTTTAGGTGTTAATTCTTTACATGAGAATAAGGTTTGTAACTTTTCATTCTGACTTGCTGGATGCAAAAAGTGATAAAAAGAGGAGAAATCACTCAACATCACCTAACTTTTCCACTTGTTAGACACAGTACTGCAAAAATTTCAAGTCATTTGTTCACCTTAACCATATAGATTCAAATATAAACGACACAATTTCACACTTTTTTATATGCCTAAAGCATTCCTAGTTATACTCTTTTATCTTGTAGACTATCTTACCTAGTAGCTTATTAATTACTGCGCTCAGGTTCATAAAATTCCAGTTATTCAATACAGTACACCAATGTAAGTGCAATTTCTGCTAGGATATACATTCACCCTAAGGGAATTATTTATAAGCTGACTGAATAGCAGACTGAACAGGTAATCCATTGTTGATAAACTATAAAGTTATTTCCATAATTTCTACGCATAATTTGTAAATTGTCAATTAGTATAAAAGCTTCAATTTGGTTGGTCAATTCATATTAGTATACAAAGTAACAAATAAACGACCTATGAAAACCTATAAATTTTCAATTAATGATTGTCATCACATCAGAACAGAAGAAAAAGTCATTCTTTTGATTTTGTCAACATTACTTTCGATTTTGTGGATTAATTTAATTAGGATAGTTTAAAAGTGTACTATGTTGTCAGAATAGTAAATACACATACATATACACATACAGGGAGAAACATGTTTAAGCAAAGTTTATTCAGTGATACATAAGATTATCACTGTATTCTGAATGAATTCAACACAAAAAATCTCCTTCTTCCAAAACTACTAAATTTCTCCATTAGTTGAATTATCATCTAGAGACTGCACAGAAGAAGAAAACGTGTTTGTTTCATCACCTGGAGTACGGATGTGCGTGAGAGACAGGTGAATAAGTGGAACAATAGACAGCTGGGTTTGTTATCATGATATCTTACTGGTATGAATTTATTATTTCACTTATATATATATATATTACTGTTTTAAAAATATGTTATGAAATTGTGTGTTCAGTATAGATCTTAAGGTGTCTTCTTTTGTTTGTATTGGTGGGCTCATTTTGATGCGATTAACTTGATAGAAGAGTTGTCACTCGCCTTCAACACTTACATGCACCATGTTACTTCCATAGTTTCAGAATGCACGATAATTTGATGACATTATCTCTGCAAGAATGTATTTTAGTGTTCATCTGAATAAATCACTTCCTTTCAATTATTATACAAGTCACGAAGTGTGAACATCCTCTTCTATTGAATTATATATTGGGTTGTTTATTGTCTACAGTCATACAGACGTTATCCCATAACTTTGAGACATGGTTTGTGTGGTAACAATTTTGTCACCTCTTTCGTCATATACGTAGTAGGATGTTCCATATATCAGGAACAGACACCGAATCATTCCTATTGCACGTATTTCGCATTGATTCAATAAACAAAGTTATGGTTGTCAATCTCCCCCTTCATCCAACTAACTTAGTTTCAATTCATCGCATCATATCGTGAGGTTGGGTATAATTACATACAAAGCTGTAGTCATGCTCTCCTCAAGATTCGTTATTGTACTGGGATCTGCCTATCTTGATTTCCTTGAGTAATTGTGCTCAAACATCCCAGTTGACACTGACCCACTACTTTGACTTGTGTAATTAACACCGCCCTCCTTGCAAGCGATTGGTAAGCTAAATTATATTACCTATCTGCATCAATAGGATCTTTCAACATACAAGGCGTGTTCCGAAGTGAGTTCTTACCTTTAAATTCCACTCTAATCCCAGGCTTATTCAGAATACTTTGTGATTTCTCTAAAATGTCTTCCTTGTATTGTAACACAACAAAGGCTTGAGTTCTATCTTCACAGTGTTGGCACTATTATTATCATCAGTATCACTGATTCCTGTGTTGCGACCACCAGTCTTATCTTTCTCACGGTTACAAATTTGTCGGGTGATTGTAGAGTGGTATTATTGATGAGTAAAATAATCTTGGTCCACCTGATTTATTTTTCCAGATCTTCTGTCTTACTTGTAAGTTTCTTGGTCTTGTAACTTTTACATTCTACTAAGCCTACTATGACTGATATAGGCTGAGAGGATTTGAAGTCTAAGTAACGATCTCACTGTGAAGATTTCCGATGAACACTATTCTCTTGACTCACATTTTGTTTAGGGTTTATTCTACAACACAACATAATCAGCATAATTTCGTCACTTTCTAGTTCATTCGTAAATTGGATTGAGTTCATTACTGAATTTGTGTGTGTGAAGCGTTAATCTTTATGCTCCGATTTAAATACTATAGATGTAGTATCTACATATCTAAACCGTATTTTTGAAGCAGGATTAATCGTTACTCTTATATGAGTAGAGCATGTTGAAAATCATAGAGTGGAAAATAGATTTTATGAAGGTTTCGAACAAGTTTTTCTAAAGCAAACCATCAAAAATGAGTACACTTTCACCATGAGACCAGCATTAGTGAGTTATTCAAATCTGCGACGCACAAAACCTAGAGCAATATGGTTAAATGACTTAGCACTTTTGTACTTAACCTTATGCTGCTTTCGGTTGAAAGCTAGAGAATATTTCCACAAACTAAGGTTTAACACATTTGGTAACAATGCTATCATAGACACTAGAGAAAATAATTAAAAACCAGTCTATTGGTTAACTAAATCTACAATATACAGGACTGTTTGCTTAGATGAATTGTTTTTGCTCTACTTCGGTTTGTACCTTATTTACCATGAACAATACGGCCATGTTTTAATTGAGATTTTGCAGTGTACTCAGTTTTTAAAGACAAAATATCTTTCCTATGTGGGTGTTCTGACATTAACTGGACAGCAACTTATCAGCCAAGCGCACAATCAATTACGCTAAATAGTTGATAGGTCCTACGTCAACTGTCATCAATATGCACTATATATATCATTTTTAATCATAAGAGACTTGCTAGTTTAATATGATAAACATCATACTTGGAATAAGCAGTTTCCACTTTTTTCCCTTAAGTTAAAATTATCAAAAGGTCCCCTCACTCCAACCGTGAATTCTCCTGTTTTAGACTTTCAGAACAAAATATCTGAAGTATGTTTGCTTCATTTGAAAGAGTAGTTTTTTATGTTTTCTCTTTATTTGCAATGTAAACTTGACGGGATATGGGCACAGATAAGTGAATTAAATAGAAAACGGTGCAAACTGTGAAGAATAAGGAAACAGCTACACAGGGTGCATTTACGGAGTACTGTAACACAGTCGGTTCCTAAAATCTTTTGGTATAAGGAGTTACCACTGGGTCCTCCAGCTGCTGAGTCTCAGTATCTCTGATACTTCGTAATGTTTACTACGGAAACCTACGGTTTAACCTTCCTGAAAGGTTTCCAGATAATGAAAACCAACGCTTTGAAACAAAATTCAATAACTGATTGAAATACTGTATTACGGAGGACACCAGTTATTGGATTAACGTGCAACCTTTGTGGATTTTCTACAAAATCCCTGAAATTCGGCGTTGACAGTGTTAACTAGGCTCTATTTATCTAAGCTTTTATGAGATAGAAATACTTACATCGGACTTTTGTACATGTAATCTACTGCAGCCAGAGGAATATCTGATTGACACTAAATGTTAACTAAAATGGCACAGATTCGGCTGTTTCGTGCTTCACAGCTGAGATAACACCAAAAAACACTAAAAAACTATCCCGATTCAAGAACCTTATGATTATTCCTACCGTATTTCCATCAGAACGAAAGAAAAGGTTTGTAACTTCACGTTACTCATGGATTATGCCAAATACACAACAAACTTGTAGAATTTTATAGCCATTTGGAAAGATACTAAATCTTTATCCTGTCACATACCTGGTGTCTTTCGTATCATGAAAATGCTTTTGCATGTAATAAACGTCTACTGTTATAACCTGCTTTAGAGATAGAATTCTAGGCTATTGTTGGTGGAAAATCTGTAAACACAGTAGCAATCTAAATCGATTTCTTTTGTTTTTACTTATTTTGTGGTGATGAAAGTAAATAGGTTACTTAGCATGGTATAACATGCTTCTGGATCCAATTTATTTCACTGAAAAGGCTCTTAAAACTATAAATTCTCAATACAATATTTATTTGTGAGTGGTCAGCACTAAGTACTACTTATTCTGTTCAAAGTAATTAAAATGAAAGTTGTTTTAAAATTTTTTCACTTAACTACTTCATATATTGGCCTCAGGAAGACTTTGTAACTTCACTCCAGCCTTTATGACACATATGGTCCTTCAGCTTGATTCTAAATGTAGCTCCTGACAACTAATATAAATATTAGGGAGCTTTTGAAAGCAAAATTAAGTCACTGTTTATCATAACCCTGCTTTTTGAACACGATCTCTAACCAAGTTAAGAATTTTTTAGAAAGCTAGGGCTTCATCAAACAGAATTTTAGACATATAACCTTAACGGATGTTTTTCTTCACAAAGTATCTTTTAATGTATCCAATATGATTTACATATGAACTAAGTATTCTCAAATAAATAGTACTATACAAGGTAATATTAGTGTTGCATAAAGTATGTACTTTTTAAAAAAAATTTGAGTAAATAATATTTGTGAGTTGCTTTCAATGTATTTTTTCCATAATTTTTTGAAATATTTCAACTAAGGGATAATCTTTGTGTCAACTTCTTAGAAGTTCTAAGTTTTAATTTAATTACATACTACTGCAAAGTAAAGTACAAACACAGTAAAATCTCGATTCATACCAGCAAAAGCTAAGCAATGTCCAGATCATAATATAGACATAGTTGGGAAATTGTATCCTATAAAGCTGAGAAATTTAGACATGCAAAAATACATTTACTAATAAAAATTTAGAAGGACAAACTATACTATGTTATATTGATCTTTGGTGACTAGCAAAGGAATCCGGGACGCTCGTTTTGTACTATTTGGAACTCGTCAGCTGGATGCACCTACACATCAGTGAGTGATGTTGTTCCCACTGAGACTGAAACCTACCTGCCGCAACTACCAATGAATGCTCTGGCTAAGTTGTTGGATTGGTGTCGGTGAAGTGGCTTGCCACTTGACTGGTGCTGACAAGACAACCTAATTTGACTAGGTAGAGGAAGTAAAAGTCATAGCAAGGTTTCCGTGGGTGAACCTGCGGAAGGATCATCATCATATATCCTTATGTATATAAAAAACCAAACTGAGGTGTGGGCATGTTTATCTATGCGAAACGTGTGGGTTTCAGGTCCATTCTCATGTCGGTGGTATATAAATACGGTATGCTAAGACATCCCTAATATTAATAACAATAAGATGCATTCTCCTGCTGATGAGACATATATATAACTGGTTCACTAGTTACTAGCCGGTCCTAAGCCCGGATAAAGAAGGAAGGTTGGGCATAGGGCTAGCAACCCTACCCCGCAAAACCAATCTTATCGCTAAGCAAACTTCAAAGAACAGAGACAAATATGAAAAAAACTTATTCCTTGCTGGAATCGGAGGGACGAAATGACACCGGTTGGTGAAAGCCTTCGGGAAGCCAGTCGGCCGATGTGTCTACTCTTCTCTCTGTTAAAGCGGAAGTAAGAAAGTATGAACCTACCAAGGCTGCCCAGATTGCAAAAGAGATGAGAAGGTATAGCATATAAATGCTAGGCTAGGAATCTCCGAAAGTAAATGGAATGGAAGTGGACTCTCTCAACTGTCAATTGCAGAGTCAATAATCTACGCTGATAATGTCACTCAGGCGACAACCACCAGCACACTGAGTTTTGGAGTGGTTGTCATGATGTCCCCAACAGCATCGAAGGCATTCATGCGTGGGAACCAATCTCCTCCTCCAGGATAAAGATCATGACAGTAAGATTCAACTCATGATGCAGGAAAGTCACAGTCATGCAGTACTACACTACGCACCTACAAATAATGT